TAAAGTATTTCTGATTCTGAAATGATTATAGCCTGCTTATATGGTACATTAAACAGCAGTGCTGTTTAGACTGACATTAACTGGCAGTACTTACAATGAAAAGCACAACTCCAGACCATAAATGTGCTTCTCAAAGCAAAACTGACAAATAATAAAAGGAAAATCTAACAAAGACACTTGAGTAAAGTCTGGTCAGCAGGTTTCCTTAAATGTTGGGCTGCTACTGTGTATTTTTTTCAAGTGGTCTCTTAGAGCATTTGTGCATCTAACCCAACCCCCCAGACTTTCCTTTGGGTTCATCCTGTGTTTTCTCTGTCTACAGACAGAAACATTGATTAAATGTCAGACACGCCTTCTGTCCTATCAGTATTGTAGAATATACACTGTTAGTGTAAGCAGCATACCACAGGGGCTGTCAGGACAAAGCTCCTTGCAGAAGTCCCAGAAGTGGTACAGATCCTCTGGCATTTGAAGCTTGTACAGCTGCATGATCTCCTCACGCTTAACTGAATCCACCTCTGACAGTGGTGCAGCTTTAGATTCGTCAGTACGGGCTTTCTTCACCTCCCCATTGCCTGTACCCGATTCCTAAAGAAATGTATTGTAGAAGAAACAAATGTGTTATACAGCCTCTTGTTGTTATTTTGATATACCAAACTACAACTAATGCATTTTAATACAACAGGCCGACAATAAATTGAACTGTATTGGCGTTTTAAAATATTATCAATCACCCCGTTGATATCACTGATTACAGATCGGCCATCAGCCACCTTGCTGTCTAAATATCGACATTAGCCATCGAAAAACCTATATTGGTCGACCACTACTTGGTGTAGGAATTGGTAAGGGACCGGCTTGATTTCTATGTCAAGAGTTAATAACAAATAACACTTTTTTTTTATCTGTCTGTGTGGAATAATGGTTTAAAATGATAGCCAGGTGCAAGGCTGGTCACTATTGATCATTTAATGGATGGATTTCTGGAGAAGTTTGATATACCTATGAGGGATATATATATATTCAAATTCTGCATTATGTGATGAGACACGGGGAATGGAAGAAAATAAAAGGTATTTCATTAACATTACAAATAACAGAAGACTAAAAAACAAACATATCTCCCAAATCTACAAAACTAAAACTTGATTTACTGGAAGATATATACATATATTATATATTACAATATAGAATATAATAACTGCAGACAGAGATTGGGAGGAGGTGTGTTTGAATAGAAGATATTTCAGTGACACCTACATTCACCCAGGTGTAGATCACCATCCCTCACTTCCTCACAGTGAGTCTGGTTGTAAAGGAAGGTTAATGTTGATGATAGTGTTTTTTAAATCTGTGTTAAATGAGAAATACACACAAATACCTAACAGCATCACAAACCACAGCCTCCATCAAGGTGAAACGACACAATTCCTAAACAGTGTAAACAAAGCCCGAATATAACCCACATAGACAGATTTATTAAAAGGTTGTTGTGTTGGTGTAAATACAAAGACAGCTGCATTGCATTAAGATCATATTAGGCCTTATACATATAAGCTGTGTTCAGTGCTTTGTATTTTGTACCGGGGGCAGAGGGATGTAAAGGAGACACACACACACACACAAATATATATTAAAATATGTATTAACAGCTGAGTGCAACCTTTGCGTGGCACTGATTTATTGCCTTTGTGAGATCAAACCACGAATCAAATAAAGACACAGACCCGTTCTTCAAAACAGCCTGCGAGCGATACATGGCTAAAAAAGACTGACATAGTCCACGACTCAACGTGACTAACGTGTAGCGACATTACAAACAGCATCGAGACATTGTGGTGAAACACAGCCAATGGTGTGTAGACAGTCGTGAACATCAATGAAGGAGCAGCGTCGCGGTGCTGCTGCCATGTTGTCGTCTGACCGCTGCTGCTCAGACAGCGTGCCCAACACTTCTGCCCACAGCGTTTAACACAAGTTGCCTCTGTCGCCATTGTAACCACGGGCAGCACAGCTCCTTGCCCGGTCAAACCGCGCTTTAAACGGACATTTGTGCAGCTCCACAGGGGCGGTACAAAGACGGTATAATATTACCTTGCTGGATTTGGGTTTTCTTTTTGCGCGCCCTGTCATTTTCTTCCTCTTGTCTCTCCTTCGGCGTCTTCTTCTGCGGGTCTATTCGACGGCAACTGCGCCGCGTTAAACCGCATCACTGCCCCCCAGAGGCCGAGATTGTTAACTGCACCAACCAAAGTAGAGAACTCATTTAATTAGCATTAGCACAGTGTGAAAATTCTCCACACAGCTCAGCGCTGGCCTGTGACCACACTTCATAGTTGTTGGGTCTCTGACTGCTGATTGCCTGGTCTTTATACAGAAGATGCCAATGAGAATTATTATTTTTAAAAACACACATAGTATGCAGTATGAATCTTACCTCTGACTACATCAAAGGATGGACAACAATTCACAAAAAGTTGCTTGCTGGTTTGATAGTATGTAGA